GTATTGCAAGTTGAGTTTCGTGCATTGAATTGGGACCTATCATGTCGTTGACCCCCACACCAGATACAAGAGTGTTTTGTAGCTGCAAAAATAGGACGTTGTTCAGGTAAAGAAAAAGTTTTAGTGTCTTCGACGTGAACCAATCCAATTCTGCCTTGCCCTATCTTCTATGAAATGTAAATTGTATAAACTTATTCCTGGAATCGACACATCCCAACTCACTCCAATTGCAACATCTTCAGGACGAAGATGGAACTAGCTATTAATAAAGTCCGTATTCACAATCTGAATACGGACTTTATTAATAGCTAGTTCCATAGTTGTTGCTGTAAGTAGAAGTTTTTCTAGTGAGTCGTTAGATGATTCTAAGAGGCGTTGACGAATCATTGGAGATGAAAGGCAAGCTACAAATGGATCGCTTATTAACATTTCTTTATGTTTGTTTGCGGTTAGTGGTTTTATAGGGCATTTTCTTACTAAAGTTTGTAATTTTTCCATGAATTGGTCAACAGACTCTGATTCAAGTTTAGTTTTTTTGGAAAATTTATTGTCTAAAATAGTTAATGCATCTTCAAAGTTCAATTAATTCTCGATCAGTGGGAAGGATTTAGCACCACATAGAACAAATAAAACATCTAATTTATCTATATCTAATACTTTAGCTTTTAAGATATATGTTTGTAGCATTCTTTTCCAATATAGGTATTCTTCTTCTGACAGTTCCTCATGAAGAGTTTTTTGGAATATTTTATGATCCATTGTGTTAATAAGATAATATTATAAAATTGTTGTAGACCCGATCAAAACTAATGCAAGTAATTTAGTATTAAGGTTTTTATAATATTATCTAAAATATAAAGAAACACAATATACATAATATAAATATAATAACGCAATATTGAAATAACACAATTAGGTAAAAGTAAAATGTAAAATTTATAATAGTTTATGTAGCCTAATATTTTTATTTGAAAATCTACTAATCTTTTAGTTTGATAAAGTTATTCAAAATTACAAGTTAATTTTTATAACTGTTTGTTATTAAATAAAGTTAAAGATTTACATTAAATAATTTATTTGTGTAGCTTATTTTTTATATGGAATGTTGTAGGTATTTATATTCCAAAAATATTACCACTGCTTCAAACAACAAACAAAGAGTTGTTGCAAAGGAATGGACTGGAAATGATATAGTTGTTTTAAATAGACCATTTACATTTCAAAATAAAAATAATCATGATGTTTTTGAAATTAAACTAGCTCCTTAGGCATATATCAACAACCTACCTAACAATATAGAGAATCTACTGAATCTTCTTGAAAAGTAATAACTTAGTAATCTTATATAAGTAAATGTTTGTTTCTAAAAATTACTAAAAAATTAAATTATTAATTAACAGAAGATAAGGAAACTTTAATTGATCTTCCTTCTATATTATTAAAACCAAATTTAACATTTATAAACTTGAATGCAAATTTAAATTCAAATTTATATATTTTAAGGTTTAACCTTCTTAATCATGATGGGATTAAAAAAGATGAAATACATATAAAAATTGGAGTTGTTCATGAAGGTGGTTCTTTTAAAATGAGCTACCAAATTGTTAATCAAAATCAGCTCAAATCTCAAAATCAAATAGTTTTGTGTTTAGTACTTTTGAAGTAAAAGACTATCGCACTAATCTGAAAGTTGGGCTATCTAGATATACACAACAAGTTGATGAGATGCAAAAAATGAATTTACTTCCAATTCATTTTTTGATAAGTCTTGACTTTTACTATTGAAATTTGTTCTGAAAAATAAGAAATAAGTTTTCTGAATGTTAAAATTAATTTGTGCCATTGTGCCAAAATTATAATATTACTTTGTAGTTAGTTATAGGTAAAAATTATAATATTACTTTCTAGTTAGTTATATGTAATATTTTTATCTTGATTTATTATAGGAATCACCATTTTCGTGTCTTTATGTTTGGAGACTATAATTTTCTGTGCAGCGTATACAGAATCACTGGAGCTAAGGTCAAATTTTTTACTTTGAAATAAAGAAAGACTTTTTAAAAATTTAGGACTTAAAGAATCTATTTTCACATTTAAAGAGGTTTTTTTAGAATAAGCAGTACAAAAAACTAATTTTTTGTACTGCTTATTTAAAAATAAAATTTTGTACTGCTTACTTTTTTTACAGGTCGGCATTGCTGTCTCTTTTGTGATATAACTAAGGAAGAGATGAAAAAAATTCCAACAAGTCAAATACATTTTGTTTCACATAGAACATTTAATTCTTTAAGTATTAACTTTGAATCTTTCCAGAATTCTGGAGGAATTTTAAAGAGTGCAAAGCATTTCAATAATGTTATTGATCAACCATTGTTTAACATTCCTTTGGATCAAGTAAATTAGTTCTGGTTTATTTTATTAATGCTGCTATATCAATAAAATTATCACAGTTGTTTTATTTATTTGTACAGATTGCTGTGCCTGCATTACATATATCACTCTGTAACTATTTGAAATTTTTTGTTATGTTAGAAGATGAGTGTCATTTAGTTGATATAAAACTTGCTGGAGAACTTGCATTAAGAAATAAAATTATATTATTAAAATAGCATTATTGCAGATTGCCTAGAAAAAATTGCTCTTCTACAAGATACAGTTGGGATAAAATTATTGCGTGAACCTGAAAGAGCTGAAGATATTTTGAAAATTTATAAGCCAAGAATACTTTACTATGAATTGAGAAAAAATGACAAGGTAATATTAAGCAAAAAATAATAAGTAATTATTAAATTTGTTAATAAATAAAATTTGTTTATACCTCTTTTTTTTAAGTCAAGTTAAAAATAAATTTTTTTTTATCTAATAAAATATATTTACAAAATATGAAAAATGTTCAGTTAATAGAATTTTTTTGACATAATTAACACTTTTCAGTCAAAAGAACTACTAAATTTACGTGAAAGTAATGAACTAAAGTTTCAGGAAAATGCATTCAAAAACTCAATGAAGTATTGAAAGCAAATAAAGTTGAAAGGCAAGCATACCATAAAAAATGTTTTGTTGGAAACCATGTTCACAAAATGCTAAAAGTAAGTGGTTTATAGTTATAGTTGGTTAAGTAAGTGGTATATATATATATATATATATATATATATATATATATATATATATATATATATATATATATATATATATATATTTATATATATATATATATATATGATAAATGATATATATATGATAAATGATATATAATATATAGATATATGATATCTATATATATTTTTATATATATATATATATATATATATATATATATATATATATATATATTTTTTTTTTTTAATTATCTTCGCTTCCAACAAGGCTGCAAGCAACCACTAATTAGTGTTGGAAGTTACTGGAAGAGAAAAGATAAAGATTGTAGAGCAAGATAACGATTGACAGATGACTTAAAAGATTGCAAATTATATGAATCAGGAAAGCAAGATGAAGGAAGCGAATTCCAAAGAACTGATTTTCGAGGAAAAAAACTAGACGAATAAGAGTTTTTGGAGCACATAGGAACAGTAACAGAAAAAGGATGAGACTTAATTGAATGACGAGTAACACGAGAATGAATTTTAGTAGATAGCACAAGAGACGCTAGCTCTGTCGAGCAGTGCCCATTATAGTATTTGTAGAAAAGAGAAAAAGAAGCAACATTACGACGATGTGACAGAGGTTGAAGGTTGGCTGCAAGAGCAGGTCCAACTATGTTTACAATGCGTTTTTGCACCTTGTCTAAAAGAGAAAGGGCATCATTAGAAGATCTGCCCCAGATATGGCAACAGTATTCCATACAAGGCCGGATTTGAGATTTATAGAGATAGAGAATAGAATCCAGAGTAAGAAAGTGACAAGCTCGATAAAGAGAAGCAACTTTAGCAGATGCTAATTTCGCAACGGATTTGATATAAGGTTTCCAAGAAAGATCAGAAGTAAGAGTTAATCCTAGAAGATGAAGGGTAGGAGACTCATCGAGTACATTACTGTTCATAAATATAGGAAGGTCTAAACTATTGCGATAACGATTGGTCGAAAAAATTGAGTTTTATCTGAATTAAAGTTCACCAGCCACTGTGAGCCCCATGCTGTAGCAGAATTGAGATCCTTTTCAAGCTCAGATGCCCCCTGCAAGCAATCAGAGGGAGTTGGCTTCTTATCGTGACAAGAATAAATGGTAGTATCATCAGCGAACAATGCCACCTTAGATGTGAGAATACCTGGAAGATTGTTAATGTAAATTAAAAAGAGTATAGGGCCATGGATTGAACCTTGAGGAACCCCTGAGGTTACAGAATAAGAAGAAGAGTGCTGTCCATCAAGGACAACTTTTATGCTACGATTGGAAAGGAAGGATTCAATAATCTTAAAGATGTTTCCAGATACACCGTAAGAAAAAAGCTTATGGAGAAGACCAACATGCCAAACTTTATCAAACGTTTTAGAAATGTCAAGAGCAATGGCCTTAACCTCTCCACCTTTATCTAATACGCGATAAAACCTATCGATTATTACTGATAGCAAATCAGCCGTAGAACAAGAAGATCGAAATCCATATTGATGATCAGAAAGTAGGTTATGAGTTATATGTATATAAATATATATATATATATATATATATATATATATATATATATATATATATATATATATATATATATATATATATATATATATATATATATATATATATATATATATGTATATATATATATGTATATATATATATATATATATATATATATATATATATATATATATATATGTATATATATATATATATATATATATATATATATATATATATATATATATATATATATATATATTATATATATAAAAATATGTTATATATATATAAATGCTCACTTATTATCTATTGATGTGAGCCAGAAATTTATAAAAGTTATTTTCTTATTATTCTAAGTTTCATAACATTATGAACAGCTTACATTCTTTTAAAAATTATGATGTTCAGGAACTTGGTAAATAATCACTAACTGCAATTTTATTCTTGCAGAAAGCTATGTGCATAACTATATTATTAAAACTGTTTAGTTGCTTTCACATTTTGATATTACTGAACATTATTTTGTCAGCATTATGTATTGTATATTAGAATTATCTTATCAATTTTTTAGAATTAGCAATCAAAAACCTGATGGAATTTTATAGATTGACATGGCCAGAAGCTACTATAACACCAAAAATGCATTTACTTGAAAGCCACGCATCTCAGTTCATTGAAAAATGGAGATTAGGAATATGAGTTTATGGTGAACAAGGTGGTGAAAGTTTGCACGCCGAGTTCAACAATCTAAATAGATTATTCCGGCATATGAAGGGATGTAGCCGGCTTAAAAGCACTATCAAAGAACATTTTCTAAGAAATCACCTTAAGGCGAAAGGTGTGAAGCCAATCGTAAAAAAAAGGAAAAAGAATTTATAAACATTTTGCTAATTTTACATATAATAATATTTGTTATATTTTAAAATATAAAAGATCAACACAAATCGGCATAGCTTTGCCTCGCATTTTAAAATTTTTTTTTTGATTTCAGCAATGTAAGTATGTTAAAATCGTGCTTCTTATTATTAAAGTAATTTGAAATTTTTATTCAAAATTAAAACTTTATATATGATGAACCGGAATATATACACCCAACAGTAGAATTTAGGGGATGCCAGAGTTGTTAATAAGGCCAAAAGTAGCAAGGCCAAGACCAATGCCGCTTGTTACAAGGCCAAGGCCAAGACCAAAAGTTACAAGGACAAGGACAAGAATAAGACTTTCAAGACCAACACCTACGCAAACATTTTTACGGCCAATGACTTAAAATTTTGCCTCACGTTAAAGTAATTATGTAAAAATAAAGAATGATTAGTTACGTAATTAATTACGTAAAATAAAGACTGAGAACTTTTAATTCTTTAATTTTATGTATTTTATTATAAAGGCCAGGGCCAAAACAATCAAGGTCAAGGCCTAAAATTCAAGGCCAAGGCCAAAAGTTTTAATGACAATGTCTTAATTCTTGGCCTGAAGGCCAAGGACTAAGAACTCTAGGGGATGCTATTTATAACAACATCTCTAAATTTAAACGAATAATTAATAATGAAATATAAAATATATCTCTTCTTTTTAGCCTGACATTATATAAATTATCTCGATTTAAAAAAATGACTGGTTAAAATGAAAAACGTATAAATTTTCCTTGCAATACCTAGATTAAGAATATATTTAACTTTTTATCCCAAAAATTTTAAATTAAAAGTTATCTTATTATGATTAAGACGATAGTTTATTTTTTCGCTTAAAAAGTTAATTATTTCAAAAAGAAGATTATATATAAGAAGGATATATATATATATATATATATATACAGTGGCGGACTGGCCCACCGGCCATTTGGCCGGTGGGCCCCTTAAAATATATATAACGGTGGGCCCCTAATATATATATATATATATATATATATATATATATATATATATATATATATATATAATTATTACAATTAATTATAAAGTTAAACTATTTTTAATTTCTTGTGTATACTATTCAACTCTATTAAGTGCGAAATTCTCTAAAGAAATAGTTTTACTGTAAAACTAATTTCACGTAAAACTCTCCTTTGACCATCAATAATGATAGTAAAACTTTACAATCGTTATTGAATGTCGAGAAAGAGTTTTACATATAATTGTCATAAGGGAATTGCTAAGGTTTTGCAATTGTTAATGATTTTCTGATACAAATATAATCAATGATTTTCCTAAGGGAATTGACTTTGTAACTATTATTGCAATTGCGGTGCTTGAATTAATTAAAAAATGAATTAAATATTCATTTCAAAATTAAAAAAATAATAGTTCAACATAAAAACACACTTGATCAACCAGTTTACTGAAGCGATGTGAGTCTTCTTTTGAGGTTGGTATTTTAGTTTGTATAAAATTTACTATCTTTTTTTAATCTAAAACTTTTAGTTAACTTCCGCGCTCGAAATAATTATTTAAAGGTGATCATTGATCATACTAATCGGCTGAAATGATAAGATTTGAAAGGTAGAGGATTAAATAAATTTCCAGATGATCAAGTTTTCTGTAACTTTTTATAAGCATTACTGTTTATGTAACACATAAATAACACTTTTTGTGTTAGTCAGCTTAAAGTACCTCAGCGTAGTTTAACAATGCTGGTTTCCGATTTAAGTTTTACTAATTTGCCCTATTAGGGCAAATTAGTAAAACTTAAATCGGAAATTTTAGCAAAATCCTAAACTTTGACAATGTATAACTTAAGATGAGATAAAATACATGAAAAGGTATTTTTTAATACAGCTACTTCTGTTTGTGTTGAAAGAAAAAAATATGTATATATCTTTTTTGCTTAAACACAATTTTAGATTTTTATTAAGTCTATATTTGAAATTCTTTAGGATTTCGTTCTGTCGCTTCAAATTGTTAAAAAATTAATTTTTTACAATTAATTGTAAACAAAATTTAAAAATTAATTAATTTAAACATGATTATAGATCAAGAGAGTAAGAACTGTTATAAAATGTCTAATCCAAATTATTTCTTAAAAACATGTTCTTTTTTCATTAATAATCGTAATGTTTTTAACCTATCAAGTTAAAGTACTAAAAAAAAGAATAAGTTGGTAGTTGCTACTCTTTTCCTTCTATTTGCTTCAAGGAATACAATAGAAAATTCATCTATAATGAATTTTTTAATGTTTAAATGCAATAGTTTAAATAATTCCAGCAGTAAGCAAAGTCATAATATAAAAGAAGAATACAAGAATTTCACAGATCTGGAAATTATAGCTATAGTTAAGATTCTAAAATATACCGGAATTAGTGCCGTGACTAAAGAGTCATTGCCCCCCTTTCTTTACCAAAAATCTGTCATTAGTGGCCTGTCTTTATTTGAGTTTTAATATGTTTGATTTGCAATTTTTGCCGTTCAAACAAATTTGATCGGACAAAATTTATTTGGGGAGATCTAAATATCATTTTTTCTAAAAGGAGACAATCTTTATTTTTGCTTTATTTTTTAAATGTTAAAATCTTAACTCAGGTCACTATCATCATGTCAAAATCTGGAGCACAAAAGCGCAAAGAAAAACTACAGACAGAGATAAAAGTTTCGGCAAAAAAGTGCAAGTTAATCACATCATTTTTGTCAGTACAACCACAATGTCAAGGCAATATTGAGTCGAATGTACAAATTACATCAGAGATAATTAAAGCACGAGGTGGTAAAGATCTTGAGTTAAATTTACAGAGTACATCAGGAATTATACAAGCAAATGGCAGTCGAGATATTGAGTCGAATTTGAAGAGTACATCAGCAATAATACTAGCGCGAGGTGGTGGAGATATTGAATCACATTCGCAGAGTACATCTGCAATAATAAAAGCACTAGGTAGTCGAGATCTTGATTCAAATTTACAGAATACATCAGCAATAATACCAACACGAGGTGGTGGAGATATTGAGTCGAATTCACAGAGTACATCAGCAATTATACAAGCACTAGGTAGTCGAGATCTTGAGTCAAATTTACAGAGTAAATCAGGAGTTATACAAGCAAAAGGTAGTCGAGATATTGAGTCGAATTTGAAGAGTACATCAGCAATAATACAAGCTCGAGGTGGTGGAGATATTGAGTCGAATTCGCAGAGTATATCAGCATTTGAATATCCACCACGTTTGCAGTTAAAATGTTTTTTTAGCAAACATCCGATTCAACCACATGAACATTTGCCGTTTGATAACAAGATCTACCATAGACAAACGGACTTGAAGAATAGCATACCGAGAAATTGGTTGTCATTTAGCCAAAATTCTCAGTCTCTATATTGCTCATTTTGTTTTGCATTTAAATCACCACAGTCTAACATCGTTTCATCATTTGTGTCTGGCTTCAAAGATTTTAGACGAGTTAGCCAACGGGTTGCAGAACACGAATCAAGCAGCACTCACCGCAGGCATGTTCTTGATTACATTTGTATAATGAATAATCAAGACTTTGACAGATTTTATAGTACAGCAATAAAGAAATATAATGATGAAGTACTGATACGGAAACAAATACTTTCTCGAGTTATTGATATCATTAAACATTTATGTAAGCAAACATTGCCATTTCGAGGTCATAGGAATGAAGGTGCTTATTCGTTGGACAACGATGAAGAAAATTATGGAAATTATTTGGCTTTGGAACAGTTCTTAGCCAAATATGACCCACTTTTAGCTTCTCATCTCTCCATGTGTCAAGAGAAATCAACCAAAAGAATAGAAAAACTGAGGCGTCAAGGTAAAGCCGGCAGTAAAGGTCGCGGTGCTCCGGTTACGTTTTTAAGTAAGACTACTATATCAAAGCTTCTCAATATTATGAAAAATATGATGCAGAAACAGACTGCAATGGAAGTATCCAAAGCAAAAGTGTACTCCGTACAAGTTGATTCTACACAAGATATATCTGCAATTGACCAATTCAGCATTGTGGTTCGCTATGTTTTAAATGCTACTGTGCATGAACGGCTGCTTTCTATTGTACCAAGCAATGACGGTACTGGCCAAGGCTTGTTTGATCTCTTAAATTTGACGCTAAAGCGGTTTGGCTTTAACTTGAAATACTGCCTATCGGACAGCACTGATGGTGCTTCAAGTTATCATGGCCAGTACAATGGACTGCAACAAAAGATTACAGAAGCTGCAGACCACCATGTACATATTTGGTGTTATGCTCATGTTATCAACTTAGTTGTGAAGGAGGCAACCAGTTGCTGCATTCAGGCAGTTTCACTTTTTACCCTTCTGCAAAATGTTTCAACATTCATAAAAGTGTCATATAAGCGAATGGCAACATGGATTAAACTTGTTGAAACACAAATTGGAATGGATAAGATGAAAAGATTGAAATTGATTGGTGAAACAAGGTGGTCGGGTAAATCAAATTCTGCAACAGCGATATTTGGAACATTTGCTGAGCCATCTTCAACAGTGTTTGTCAATTTAATTTTATGTCTGTCATGTATAAGCGAATCAGAAAATTTTGATACAAAGACACGTCATGAAGCTAAGACATTGCTCTTGCCATTCCTGAAATTTGACACCATTTTGACTGCTTTTACCTACCTGCGAGTTTTTGAAAAAGTGGGACCACTTTCAATATACCTGCAAACTCGTGGATTAAATGTGTTGGTTGCATTCAAGATGGTGGAGAAGACCTAATTGAATTGAAAAGTCAATCAAGACTTTTTGATGATGTTCATAATAACGCTCTTCAATTTGTACGGATGGCAAATGCAAGCATCATTCAGAGAACTGAAACCATATTAGAGGTAAAGATAGAACTACCAGCTAAACGGAAGCGGAAGACGCCAACGATGTTAGATGAACTTACAGTAGACGAACGTGACGAATCTAAAGCTTTGAAACATTACAAAATTCACACTTACAATGTGGTGATGGATCAGGTAGTTCAAAGTCTTGAGTCACGTTTCACTTCACATCGACAATTATATATGACAATTATATCTTGCCATTTCGGGAATTCCTGAAAACAGTTTACACAGCATTATCAAACTTTTACCAGATGCCGACGTTGATAAAATAAAGGCCGAATGGTTATCATTTGTCACTAACTATGAGATTTTGAAATTGTCCTTGCCCTTAACAACAACATTGAGAGAGAATGCATATCAAAAGGATGACATAGAAGAACCGCTCTGTTATCAGCATACAAATGGAGCATGCGGATCGTTTCCATCTTGTGTGTTACGAATTCTTACAGCATATAGACTCAACGACAAAACCTATGACAATTTGTATTATATTTGTAAAATAATATGTACTATTTCTGTAACACAAGCCGAATGTAAAAGATCGTTTTCTAAGTTAAAGTTAATCAAGACAAGATTGCGTAATTCTATGTCAAATGACTACTTAGAGTCGTATATGTTGATGTCTGTAGAAAAAAATCTACTTGATAGCCTTGAGTATGATACGATCATTCAAAGATATGCATTTTCGTCCTCTGAATTGAGCAAACTGTTTAAAGAATAGTTATTGCTATACTTTGCACTGTGCAAATTGCACATCACTTCTACTTTTTTAATTCAATATAATTTTATTAATCTGTGATTTAATTGCTCCTCTTAAGACTTATTTTTAGAGAGTTGCGGACCGGACAGTCTTTGCGATATATGTATGGCCGGGAGGGCCCTTTAATTATTTTCATGGCCGGTAATATATATACAGCCAGTCCGCCACTGTGTACAGGCATACTTTCCTCTACGAGCTTACAACTTTATATAATATTTCAATTTATAAATATATTGTTGGGTAAAAAAACCTTTTCCTAATATTGTGTTTACTTCATATGTCTTATTATCTTAAAATTATTTAAAAATAACATGCTGAAATTCCCAGCAATATGTTGGTTAACTTCATTTCAGAAGCCAATGAGTACGTACATTCATGCAACCTCAATTTTTCCACTATCCTTGTCATGTTAAAATGATTCTCATTTACAATAAGCTAAAACAAGTGACGTATTTGCCCCTGAGTATTATCCTATGCAGCTGGTATCTTTTGCCCTGTCTTTGGTTGGATCAAACAGATTTGTTATTACTTTCAATGATCCTCACCTATAAATATATATCTATATATATACACACATACATATTTGTATATAAATATGTAAAAATAATATTTTTAAAGTATGTTTTTATAAAGTTGATTATTAAAATATAAATATAAATACCTGAATCTATACCAATCTTTATAAATGTGTGTAGTGGAACCTGCCCTCGATACTTTATTACAAAATCCAGAAATGTTGTATTATTTTCAATACGCTCTCTTCACAGGAGCATAGTCGTTATTTTTTTCCTTTTCTTGAAATTTTAATAATTCAGCAACATAATAGTTCAAAAGTAGTTTACTTTTTTCGTCCAGAGTTTTCTCCATGTTTGACTCAAACTTTACACCACTTCTCCTCAAAGTTTTTAACATTTCATTAGACTTAAACTGACTAAACCCTAAGTTATTTACCAAAGCTTCTACATTGTAAGAAATCTTTCTCTAATCATTTTCTGGAGTACCAAGAGTAATATGAATAATTTTACCTGCTTAATAAAAGACAACTGTTTATTTTGAGAATATTAATTTATCATAAAGTATACTTTTATTTTAGGAATATATATAATAGCTATTTTTATTTAACAATATTTTACCTGTTCTGAGAATGGTTTGAGCTCCTAGACTTTGCTCTTGATAAGAATAAATTTCTTTAAGAAGGGAAGAAACTACCTGTTCCTGTACCTTTTTGGAAATTTTAGAAATACTCTCAGAAAGATTTGCGCTAGCCTTAAAAAGTTTATATTTGTGAGGTTTACTTTTAGCAATTTCACAGAAGCATATTAGGCAAAGTTTTAGTGTTGAGCTAGTTCCTCTTTTTATCCTTTTGTTTAATAATCTATTTCTTCCTCGCCTGCATATACTGCATGATATCGAGCAATCTCTAGAAGTTTGCTAGCTAGACAAATCAGCATTTTTCCATTTTAGAGTAACTGTGTCTGTAATAGTTATACCAGCCTTACAGAGATATAAGTTTTTCTTACAACCTGGGCATTATCCTGTAAGGTAAGAAAATACTTTCAGTGAAAAATCAGGCTTACAGAAAACTTGAACCAGACCTACCAAATTCTTATTAACTGGAATGCATTTGTTGTTCCTTTCGAGGCAGAAACAGCAGATGATCTTTTGAAAATGTACATGATCTCTTTTAAAATGATATTCTCTCGAGAGAAGAGGATCCATACATTTAATGCATTAGGTATACATAACAATTTATATTATCTATATTATCTATATCATATATTATAATTTAGTATCTATATTATCTATATTATCTATAGTATCTATATTATAACATAGGTATAGGTTATTAAATTAAATTTTAATATATCTATATTAATATAGATATATTAAAATTTAAATAAAAAAGCATAGTCAAAAATAGATATTTTTATTACAAAATGTTTTTTTGACCCACTTTGAGTATTCTAATGATATTTATGTATAAATGTTAGATTAAAGACCTTAGAAAGTTATCAGTACTTACAGTTTTTTTAAATACGAAAAAAATGACTTTTTAGCAGATTTTTAATGTCAATTTTATTACAAAAAAAAAGTTATTCTTATAAATTCTTCTTATAGAAGAGTTATTAACAGAGTGTACTCATACCTAACTTACACATACCTAAGTCCCAATAAACTTCTTTATTAAAATATGTTTGGTTTAAAAAAAAAAAAAACTCGGCCGAACATTCTTCAATTAATACGTTATTCTTCGCTTAATACATTGTATTAATGAATATTTCAAAAATCCAAAACTTACAATTGGGGTTTTTATTAGCATGTCAAAAGCATTTAAAACGATCGATCATAATATTATGCTTAAAAAAGTTGAATACTAAGTTGGTTTAAAAGTAACTCTAAGTTGGTTCAAAAGTTATCTCTCCAACCAAAAGCCATTTTTTTTAACGAAGATTCTCTATCTCAAACATTATTGAATGATCTAAAGATTCTGTATGACTTTCTACCACTAAACTTACATCTTCAAAAATTAGACTAGAAGTCTCAGTAGTTCCAGTATTTGTACTTGGGCCAGCAAAATCAATGTTGTTGGTCTCAATTGTATTTATAATACTGATAGGTGTATCTACATTATTTTAAATTTAATCTATTATTTTCATTTATAACACACGATGATATATCTGTTAAACATAAGCTTTTACCTGGGACAACACATACTTTACGTCGCTTTGGTTTTTTAGAACCATCTGAGGGATCATCCAGTGGCTTACATAAATGATCTAAAAATGATTGGCTTACTAAATCAGTAGTTGAGCCTAAACCTACATTACAACATGGTAGTCGTGAAAGCACTTGAGACTTGTCTAATGGAAAAATTCCAGTTTTGCGAAAACCAGCTCTAAGGTTATCATTCCCATGTTCATTTAAGTTAGTAATTAAACGGTCTAAAAGTCTAGGAAATTCATTATTAGGAAGAGAAGCAACTCTCCTTCCTTTTCCTTTCTCCTTCCATTCACATAATATTTTGCGCCAGTTAATCTTCGTAGGTCTAAAGTAGGAAACATTTAATGGCTGCGTAAGATGTGTAGAGTTTGCTAGTAATGCCATAAATCCTATGCTTTGTCCACAAATCCTTATTGCTTTGACATGCATCCAGTATTGCAATGCTCAAATGTGAAGATACGTTATCACCTATATTGACACTTCCCGACGGGCATTTGTTTTTAAAAGTTACGATCTAAATGTATTTTAAATGTCTTTTAAACGTCTTTTAAACATTAATGTTTAAAAGACGTTTAAAAGACCTTTAAAACACATTTAGAACGTAACTTTTAAAAACAAATGCCCGTCGGGTTCTTCTTTGAGCCTTCTTAAGTCTTGGACGAAGTAAAGAGAAAAACCAGTCCTCAAAACAAGTTGAGTCAAACCAACCACTTTTTGATCTGTTATAACGTGCTTTTGGTCGCCCATGTTCCGTCCATGTATTCCATAACGAGTCAGGTTTGTAAACAACATAAGGTGGTAACAATTCACCATTAGCATTGCCGCAAAACATTACAGAGAATGAGGTAATTAATGATGCGTTCAGGATACATACATCCACGCTTTGTTAATATTTTTTTTTTACCTGGATCATCACTGAGATTGGTTTCATCATAGTTTCATATATTATCAGGTGATATATTACTTATTTCATTTGATAGATTTATAAAGTAATTATCAATCACAGTCGTTCCTATTTCTGCTCTCTTTCCCTTTATGTTGCTTGCAAATCTTATTGTGAGTTCTGGATTTCTTTTTAAAAAAGATCGAATCCAATCATCACCTGGAAAATTATTTTTGAACTGAGGTATAATGATGCCTTTTTTCTCTAAATACCTTTTTACTATGCATCTTAAATCATATTTATCAATAGGAAAACCAAACTCAGATGATTTTATTGCATATGCCTTAAACATGTCTTCTTCTTTTGATGTAAATATTTGCTGACCACCATACTTTTTAGGATAGGTCTGTTTTATTTTATTTTTTAATGATGATCATGGTATATCGTATTTCAAAGCTGCTTGTCTTTGAGTAATTAAACCATTCTTTAAATCTTTCAAGGCATTGTCTAACTGATCTAAAGAATAAGGATTTGGCTGGTAATTTTATGGCATATTTAAACTAAGAACTAGACAAATTTCACTATAATTTTTTACTGATTTACTAATACAAACTGTTATACTGATTTTCTATTGCATTACTACTACAAAATTTTTTATTCCAACATAGTAACTAACATAATATCTATAAATGATCACTAAAAAAGGTTTACTCTAATACATGGGGTGACTTTAGCCCGGGCCAATGTCACCCTATGTAGTGAGCCAAAAACAACCTATTTTTTTTTAACTCAATTACTAAAATTTTAAGCTTTCAAAACAAGATAGAATCAAACACTAATGGTTTAAAATTAATTCAGTGTATATTCCAATAAAAAACCTTCTACAGGTACTGCTATAGATGTAAAAGTTTACACACCTAAAAAAATTCGGATTTTAGGTGCTTCTTCTAAAGTGCAATTTACAATAATATCACAAAGACTCGAGTTAAGTAAACTAAGTTAGACTAAATAAATAATAAATTTCTCACAATTTGCTACTATACATCAACCGGCATACCTTGAGGTATCAATTTTAAACCATTTTTAAACAAAAATTTCGCTTGGGCTAAAGTCATCCCGAGGGCCAAAGCCACCCAATCTTACGGTATATAATTTGTTTTTGTAGTTGGTTTTATGGCTTTCAGTTTGTTTTCATGATACGTATATTTTCACTTTTAACTTCTTAACATACATTTATTTTTTTAAACAGATAAAAAGGTTGAAAGAGCATAACCACATCAAAGGGTTTGAGTTGGGGTTAAGGTTAAGTTAGGATTAGGTTTATCACTTATGGGTTTGGTTTGGACCAGCAATCTTT